TCACCAAGCTGATAATGGTCGAAAAAGCTACGATATTTGAGCTGTCCTGAATGGTGTAGAAGGGGAGACACCGAACTCTATCATCATATCAAGTGTCTGTAAGCTATGAAAAGAACGGGAAAATATCACTTCACAGTACATACACATTATTTTCAGTTAAGATCACTCCTGCTCACGATCCTTTTTTCGCTCCAAAGTGGCATCAAATGCGTGTAATATTCGACATTTGCGTTATGAACACCCATTGTTAATACTGACTTGTTTTGACTCGTCTGCATTCTACTTGGAAATAGCCATATATAAACCTTCTCAATCGGTTATTTCCTCAACAAAAGTAGCCCTTTTTCCAGAAAAAACGTTTTGCCACGGAACGTACAGTCCTCATTTGGTCGACACCATCACTCTCCAAACGGACAGCTGTGTGGTGGGTCTAACTGTCTCGATCATCCGCTACAGCCCACGTTGCTGAATCTGCAGCTCCACCTGTCTCACTCGATCATACACCTTGGACCTGTGGGAAGCCGTGGGCATTCTTCGGTGTCGTGCAACTGGGCAATCCTGGGTAAGATTGACAACTTACTTTATCTATCATTGCTTTTCTACGTTTCGCTTGATACAGCCATCTGTCTATCTCATTTATTCCCCCGTAATCACCAGTAGGAATGAGTAATAATCGAGTCCTAACGAAATCTGGTATCAGGAACATCTCAGGCAAAGCCTCACCTCAGCTGATAACCTCCCCATCAGTGGTGGTAACTAGGGCCGGAGGCAAGAGGTTTAGTGCCGCCGCAAAAGATCACAGGTGGACCTCGGGGGGCAGCTGCGACAACCGCTTCCCGGGAAACGTCGAATTCCTGTCCCTCTGAACCCCTGTGCTATAGTTCATCGGAGAGTATGTCTTCCTGGTACCCCCAGGCCAAGCCGTAGTCTACCTGTGAAGGCTACCACTGAGAGACGGAAGAGAAGGAAAATAAAGTCTTTAACTAAACCTCCTGGCCAGACTGGTGACCGTCATACCTGTAGTCTCGCCGTAGTTAAGACGGATGCTGCATTGAGTGCAACATCTGCAATAAGTGGGGGCATAGTCGGGGTGGTGAGGTTATACCAGACCAATATTACACCTTCATGGCATTCTAACCACGCACATGGTACTGATACACCTGCCTGCAGTGCAGCATATCGCCACTTTTTTCTTCAGCCCCGCTAACGGGGTTGTAAAAGACATCGCAGTTGCTACTGTGATGCCGGCACCCACATAGACCACTACTCCGGGTCCAAGTGACAAGAGTGTCAGCATTGTTCCTTGGACAGTCATATCAGCGAACAGTCCACAAAGACCAAAAGGCGACCGGGTAGGCGACCAACTACATTAGTCCCTAACCCTGAAGCCACTTTGACGGCTAACCCCACTGTACAACGGGGAAAATGGGTGACACGGGAAAAGAAGATGCACCCTCACCAGGTTTACCCAACCAGTCCCTCATCCATATGGAATCCTAGTAGCCTAACTTGTCAGCGTGCACTATGCCATTTAGACCTTATGACGAACGCATAAAGCCCAAGGTCACAGCTGTGCTACACGCCTAACATTTAAGAATATTGGAAGATTCAAACGACAGCCGAATATTTCCTACTTTTGAACTGAGCTTGCCGCAGTATGGTGAACAGTTATGCTGTTTCTATCTGTTTCATTCTTTACTGTCTGCAGAGCGTTAACGTTCTCACTCTGGAAGCATCTTTTATGTACCGGGAAGAACAGTGTCCATCGTATAGCCTCATATTGTACATAACAGTCAGTTCACATTACCAAAAAGATCAGACCTGTAAACTAGTTTGTCTTCACGTAACTTCCTTTGTATGAAATACATTATTATTATTATTGTTACCATTGCAGCAATGTGAAGAGACTTAGAAGTAAGATGGGGAACTACGATTTCTCTGTTCCTGCCTCCCCCAACGACCATAATCCCAACAGTAAATTGGTCGTCACCGGATGTTGGTGACATCGAAACTAGTCTAAACGGTATGCATCTGTTTCGGAGAGACAGGGAGCGTAAGGAGGGAGGCGGAGTGACGATGCTTGTAAGCGATGTCCTAAAGTGAACGAGCAACTGAAACTCTACTTTCAGGGCCCCCAGACTGTTGTCACTTTACGGTTGGACACTCCAAACACATGATAGAAAGCGTCTACAGAACCCCTACTAGCAACATGGAACATAACCGACAACTTCCGCAAGTAAGGTCCGAAGCGACGTCCATCGGATATGACCAGGTCGTTATAGCCGGCTACTTTAGTGCTGCAACTCTCAATCTCGGGCAGGATAGGGGAACCTCAGGCCGAAGGCTGAACCGAAACCTACTCAGCACTGTCAAAAAGGCCGGACTGCCCGAGAATATTGGTGATGACACTCGCTAGGGGTCGGGTGAAAAGCCGTCCAAACCGGACTACCTTTTTACCAGTGACCCACTGCTGGTTAAAATGTTCAGGTTCAAACCCTTCTCGGTCGCAGCGACCACGGCGTGGTAGTGCTCAGTCTGGTACTTAACGAGCAACCGTCATCGGAGGCATCGCGCCCCTGTCTTTGCTACGGCAGGGAAAACTACGTCGCAATGAACCAATACCTGTCGATAGCACCATGGACTTAGGAGTGGAGCAACCTGTCGATTGATCAACATTGGGAACTAGTTAGAGATATCATCAAGAAGGGTATCTCCGAAAACGTCCCTGTAATCACAGAAATACCGCGGAAGCGAGCCTCATGGCTGAAGCGGGGCAATGAACACCTTTTGAAAGCCAAGAGGAAAGCATGGCACAAGTGGAGGACCTCCAGAAAGGAGTTTGATCACACCCCTTATATTGCCCTAAGAAATCGATGCAACATCAAAGTGAGGGGAGACAGGAGGTCGTTCCAGATGAACCTTGCCCAGAAGCTCGAAGAGAACCCCAAAAACCTATATCGATATATGGCAGGTTGAAAATCCACCAGCTGGGGGCCTTGAGCGCTAAAAGGCACGGACGGAGAGAGCCTCTCCAGACTAGAGGCTGCCGAAGCCTTCAGCGCCACCTTCGATACGCAACTAAACACTTCGCTATCGAACCGAAATTGCCGACTGTCGGACCAACATTTAGCACCACCAAATGCAGTAAAGTTACCCGGAATAAAAGTTACTCCTGCTACGGTCCTCGAAAAGCTACCAAAGCTCTGCACAGGGAAGTCACCAGCGTGCGATGACATCCAACCGACTGTGTTGAAACGCTGCGCGAGTGATTTTCCTGGATTGTGCTAAGGCCTTTGACACAGTCCTGCATACCATTCTTATTCACAAAATATCAAGGTTGGGCATCAAGGGACAAGCACTCTCCTGGTTACAGGCCTATTTAGACGGCAGACGATTCTGAACAGGAGCCAATAGAGTTTTGCTCGACTTGGAGGACATCATCATATGGTGTACAATAAAGAGCGATCCTGGGTCCGCTGATATTCCTTCTTCTTGTGAACGACCCTCCACTGAATCTCAGCTCCCCAATTCTACTCTACGCTGATGATGTTAAGTTATGGAGAGCTGTAACGTCAGAAACAGTATCGAGTGCACTGCAAAGTGATCTCAGGTTGCTTGCAGAGTGGGTGGATATTAATGGACTAGCATTTAATCCGGATAAGTGCCAGACCATGTTTCTCCGCACCTCAGACTCTCAGAGTTCTTACTGTAGAACACAACTCTGGCACACCACCACAGAGAACGGCCCAGGACTAATACTGACTGACAAACTAGACACTAGCCCCGATTATCCAGAGGATGCCTCCAGAGCCTACGCAGTACTGCACTTCATGCGCAGACAGTTGGGTGCCTGACCCCGGAGCTCCTTTTGAAGCCGTATAAGACCTATGTACGACCCCACCTTGAGGTACACAACGTCATTGCACCACCATGTCCGAAAAGAGACGTGGACCTCCTGGAGAAAGTCCAAGAGCGAGCTACAAAGGTTGTCGTGGAAATGAGGCAAAAACCATATCAGGGCAGGCTGAAAGATCTAGAGCCCTACTCCCTAAGCCACCGTAGATAGCGTGGTGACCTGATAACGGCTTACAAAATACTAAGTAACCCAAGTCATCCGAACAGCGGAATACTACCGAACGGCCACTATATCGATCCTCGTGGTAACCCAAGGAGAACTGCCCACCAGAGAGCGAAAACCCACCTGCTATCACACTTCTTCTCTCTGTGAGTTCGCAGCCACTGGAACGCATTGCCCGCCGAGACTGCTACTGCTCCGTCTGTTGACAGCCTCAAGAAGGGGTCGGACAGTTACGCAGCGACGCACGGTTTGCGCTCATCCAACGGGGATGTGGACTAGGCTGATACGACTTACTAACCCGGCACGGCCAACGGTTACTGAACACTTTGTAAAACTACTGTCGCTGGGAACGTGGCTCAATCTTATGCCTTCCCACAGACGTCCCCTCCAGTTACCGCCCCCTACCAAGAGAATTACTGTATTCCCATTCGTCCCATAATGTTATTAATTCATCTTCCTACTGACTTTACGCTCTCACACTTTAACAAAAGCTCTCCTTACCACCCATTTCCTACGGACCTACCACTGTTTCTTCCTCCGTGTCGTTTCCTTCTTCCCATCTTTTTTCTTTTATTTATTATTTTTCGTCTTTTTTTTCTATTTTGTCTCCCTCTGTACTTTCTCGTGATTTCTCTGCATATATTTTCCATCTCCCCTTTACAACCAGTCCGACCAATCGTCTGCTGACACAACACTTGAGGAACCCATCTGCAACACAGTCCTCGGAAGAAAAAACGAACAAACAAACAATCCCTACAAATTTAACCAACACCCAACCGCCCGTTGGGCTAACCAGAGTTATAGCAGCCGAGTGGGTAGACCTGCCGCACTGAAATCCACCAAAGACCTGTAAGACTTAGAAGCTAGAGCGAAGAAAGCAATTGGTTCACACTCTCTCGTGAAAAGATATTGGACATTGGATATTGAAACCAACAGGCTTTTCAACTTTTCAGGGTCAGATGGTATAATTGCGCAAGTGATGGCACTTAGAAGGAGAGCGGACATTTTAGATCCCGATTTTGGTACTATTCGACATCAAATTGCTAAGCTCATGCAGCAAAGTATTCATGACTGCAAGAGTTTTCTGTTGATGGTGAAATCATTGTTTCCTAATTCTATAAAGTTGGAAGTAAGTGCTTAGTAATTTAACGTGCTTAGATGATTGAATATGAACTCATGCAGGAGTATGGGGAAAGCAGTCTGGCTGCTGAAATATTGTGTCGTTTGTAATCTCTTATTCTACATTAACCGTGTAGGTACGAGATCCATAAACATCTTGACATAACTCAAATTCAACTGTTAAGCAACATAATTAAGGATCCCTCTGATAAAGTGTGTTGCGGTGAGAATAATTATTGATTTAACTCTTTAGCAGAAATCTTTTCGAAACTGATTCCATCGTTGCAAAAAGATTTGACTCAATCTTACTTCAAGCAAATCTCAAATAACTTAGCCAGGGCTGACAGCATTATTTTCCTCCTTAACTCAAAGGATGTAGTCTTGCATTCCCAAGTTATACCTATGCTGCTGGCGCTGGCAAATCAGAGCCTATTAGACGGTGAATATTCCATGCGTAAGAGCAGTCAAATGTCTAATACGTATTTGAGGTGTCATTCACCTGTCCAAGATGGTGAATCATTCGTGAAGTAACTGGTTTTCTGTCAATATATACATATATATATATATATTCTTTAGGACTGAAAATTCAGATGAAGGAGAAGAGGGGGAAGTAATAGGATGTGATGATGAAGATGAGTTTGTTGACGAACTTGACACATCAAATGCCGAGGCAGGAGAAAGTTCCTTGGCGAATATACCCATCTCGGCACTGAATATCTTTCGTTTCAAAGTAACTTATGAACTGCTTCCAATAGCATACAAGGTAAATTCGGTCAAGTTGATGATCGTTTCTAGACTGCTAATATCTCGAAACTGGATAAAAACCTTCTTTACAGAATGTCGGTCACATCACTCAACTTTTTGCTCACTTACATAGTTCACATTCCAGCAAATCCATCCGTTGAAGGATTAGAGAGAGGTGTGTTTTTATCAAAGAAGGATCCAAAGATCTACATAACAGACTGTTTGAAGATGATAGGATATTTGTTACAGTGGCCTGTTAACACTACTTTTGATTTCACATCTGGCAAAAGTCCGTCGTATCTGGTACGGCTTACTGTGGATTTGTTTAAAGAAGCCAAGTCATCATTTGAAAGTCCGTCTACTAAGAAAGATACAAGAAATAAGATGCTACGCCAGTCTGGTCACAAAAGTGTGCATTCAAGTTTGAGTCACAAATCACATGCTGCTGTTTTCCAAGCAGTTTGTGTATTTTGGTACACGTTTGTTGACTTAGGTGCAACCTATCTTTACAAAGTCCGCAGCAGAATTTTTGAGCGCGTTTCAGATGATTGCCATCTAAGTAGGGCATCATATTTCCCACTCAACCTGGATGTACTTTTCAATTTAAGTAACAAGCACGTTTCTTCTTTGGAAAGTGAGGAAATAACACTTCTAAAGTGTGTTCATGAAATTTGGAGTCTTCGTGAATACACATCTGCTTCTTATTCTCTTGGCAATCAGTTACTGGATACTCTGGAAGATGACATTCGTCCTCACTTTTGTGAATTATCCGATTTGGTTAGCGAAACCATTTTTGAACAAATTATCCGTTTAGATTTTACCCTTGGTGGTCTAAACAATAACCCACACGAAATGGTATGGGCTTGCGACTTTGTGAACAAATACTGTAAGAAACTATATAACAGTTCAGAAGTCACTCTTATATTCAGATTTCTTCAGAAGCTTACACCCCTGTGCCCTGTAAAAAGTAAAACTGCCATCGAGTCAGATGCTTGTCAGGGAGTGTGGCATGACTTGGTGAAAGAATTTAGATCTGTTTACTTACTTCTTGACCAAAGTAAAAATAAGAAGATACACCTTCAGAATAATTGTTGTCTCGTACCATTCACCCGTCCAAACATAATTTTTGTTGTGTCCAAAGCATTGGCAAGCAGTTTGTGTGCTGTTGCTCAAGAAACACAAGATTCATTTGTCACTGTGCGGTGTATTTGCTTAGCGTGTGTACTGTGTCAAGTCGATGTAATGTTGGGCGATACATTCCACATGGAAACTCCTTGGCCATCTCTATTCCCATACATTTCAGAAATAATGCTTACTCATTGGAGTGATGTACGGAATCGGTTTTCCAGATGGCTTTTGCCTCCTACTGCACTTATTTTTGATGTTGGCTTGCTAAATACAATGTTTCAACTGGAATGCGGTATTGGAGTGAAAATAGAGTGGTAAGTATTTTCACTACTTGTCGGTATAATCTGCTAATCCTTCGCGCTCTTGGCACGGTTTTGTTAATTAGTTTTTCCTGTTACAGTTCCTAAAATGTTTGACATTTTATTTCGAGCATAGATGTTGGATGACCCTAATGACATTAAACACTAGAGTTGTGACGATTTCTTCTGTAATCCTGTTTCTTCTAAAGTATTGGATCCTTATTAAGGGATATTAGAGAACTACTTCTGTCAAGTGAGATAAATTTTACCTTTTTTTTTTACTATAACATGGCACTGACTAAATTAATCTTTTGGTCGAACTCAGGACCTTCAGGTTTCATGGCGAGCGCGTTAACCATTCAGCCACTGGGTCGGTTTCCAGTGGTTCACAATTTCCAACTTCTGTCAATTCGCAACATAGCGTGACTGTCACCCAAGGTCTTCAGTTAGCATCCACTTCACTTCCAACTGGTTGACTCTACAGGTCACGGCTTCTCATTAGAACTTCCTGACATCCATCTGGAAGCAAGTCACTATGTGAATTGACAGGAGTTGGAAGTTGTGAACCACTGGAAGCCGACCCAGTGGCTGAATGGTTAACGCGTTCGCCGTGAAACCTGAAGGTGCTGAGTTCGACTCCTAGCCTGGTCGTGGGTGCGTACTTCTGAGGAGTTCCATACTAGGACGAAACAGCTGTCCAGTGCTCCCAGATTTTCAATGGTCCCCCAACTGATGTCAGTCCATGATGAATACTACTTCTAAATTAAAAATCCCCATTCATCTCAAAAATACATTAAATTAATCTTTCTCAATTAAAAAAAAATCAGTTGATGGAGATTCAAGCCATCCATTTGGGACCCACTAATTATATAGCATCTTACCTCACATAACCTAATTTTCAACTTTAATACTGGGAATTCCCTCATCCCTATGATTTGAAATGATTTTATGTTTCTCCTAACCTATTTTGTTCCCTAACATGAGTATCATTTCACTACGCTAGTATTCAAATTGTTTTCGTTTATTTCATCCTACTTTCACGCACGCAATAATGCCTTGATGATGATGACACCCTCTTATTGCTTTTACTAAACTGTCTTTGTTTATGCGGTTTTACACTCACATCTCATTTCCCTTTCAACTTGTGATATCCTTCGCTCGTATAACTTTCAACGTCGAAGTTATATTATAGTTCATTTTCACCTTATAGTGTTACAGCCGTATAATCGTTTATGTGATCGATTATTTCATGTTGAATTCCGCCCAGTTGATTCTGACATTACCGTCTACACAAGAATTTTCAGAAGAGAATTTCCTGAACTGCATAATCTTATTAACAAACTGCTAAAGAAAATCCCACTTGCACACATAAATGTAGGATCTGAAGAAATTATTGGAAAGTATATTTCTTGTTCACTTAAATATATTTCCAAATAGAATAGTTGTAAAAGTGACTACTCTAGGGTTTGCATATCTTCCTTTCAAGAATTCTGGTTAGTTTATTACGAAAACAGTCATCAAAAGTTAGATCATCATCACATTTCAGGAGAAATGTAAGTTAATAACTAAGGTCTTCGGTGAAAAGCTATTATATCAGAGGTGCGTATGTAGTAAATCAAAACAAGGTGACAAATTCAAATACCAATTTAAGTTCAAAAGTGGACATTATGTTTCACAAAACTCTTGATGCTGTATATAAAGCAACACTGATAAGCACACATGAATGCATAAAATTCAGGTAGATGTTCCTTAATAAAGATCAATTCAGTAATTGTTGCGACTGAATTTTTAACTCAGTGGTTAAATCTGCCAGAACGTCTGTACACAGAATCAGTTATTCATGCGTAAGACTGCCAACGTTATGTTATCTGCTTTTTTCAAGTTTAACAGGGTAGTTTTCTCAAATTCAGTGAAACATTTATTTAAATGCTTAACACCTTCAAAACCTTCACACTTCTTAGGATCGGATGACATACCAGATATTCTACTCAGCAAATGTGCTGGTGTTGTATCATCTGTTATCATTTCTAATCAGTCCTTTTCCAAGGATAATGTACCAATCACCTGGAAAGAAATTATTGTAACGTTAGTTAGTCTCAACTTAAGACATGGACAAGATTTGTGCCAACTACTTCAGTCCCCTTGACTCTTATATAATCCATGGCTCTGTAGTGCAAAATGTACCGTGTGACCCATCTTCGTTTGCCCTGATCTTTCGTGTTCCATCCTACATTCTGCTTATTCCAGTGAGAAATCCCTGTTTGACCTTTTCTGTAAGTAAGCTGGGACTGTCTGGCATAAAATAACCTCTAATTATACGTTTTCTTAACACCTACATTTTTCTTATTCTACTCATCGCTTACATTTATTCTTCCATGTACTCCGGAGAAAAGACTATGCTGTATTGCACAGGATTTTGAAAGTTGTCAGTACACCATTGACCAGAGTAATAAACATGGTTATTTAAAGACGTCTCAACTCCTAGATACGGGTGACCCCAATGTGTCTTTCAGACGATGAAAGTCTTCATCCGCACCTTTCTTCCTGTTTGTTCTCGAGGAAAGGCAAGAGGCAAATGTATGGAACTTTATGCACTTACGGCTATATACAGAAATTCAAGCGTAACTTAGCTTGCATGTTTCGTGAAGGACTTGTCAATTTTCAATTTTAATTTTTGTTTAGGTCTGATCATGATGCATTTTTATCCCGTTGTGCAAACTTAATCCACTGTAAGCCGCCTGATACAGTGGACTCACTTCTTGAGGAGTTCATACATTTAGAATCTTCAGAGATTTCAGCTTGCCTAGCTTCGCTGTAAACGTAATCAAGACAGTCGTATTTATTCTTGTACCATATTGAAAGTTGTTCCAACATTTGTTTATATCCACTATTACACATTTAAATAAATTTGAAAAAATTAGTTACCCAGTTTTCTGAAAGTAGTACTTGTTGTGTAACGGTTTTTTTGTAACTATGGCACCCCTTGTGATGATTAAATTATCAGATCACTAAATTCGTAATCGGCATTAGGACGCAAAACAAAGTTTTAGTAAAGGAAAGCTTCTTCGTGATGGCTTCATTTCAAAAGCTGGGAAATCGTGTTCATGTATTAATTAGGAAGGTAAATGAAACTCTGTCTCTTTATCTACTTGTAAAAGTTTTTTGAAAATTGGGGTTGATGAAGTAAACTAATGTAGGTAAAATCAAATAGATTATCAAACCAGCTAAATATCATATGAAACTGAAGGCTAAAAGTAGCAGTAGGTTAGCAGATGAATATGATGTGGTATTCTTAGAGCAGTTAAATAAAAATCATATTTATATGATGAGTTTGGGAGTAAGCGCGATGAGTTGGGAAGGTAAAATAAATTTGGTTATCTCAAGCGTGTGAACATATCATACTGTACTAAAATAAAGTGACAAGACATTTTCCATCATTCGATAAAACCACACCACGTCAGTCATAGGGGTTGTACAAACTGCTCCTCTACACTTGTGTTTTTAGAATGCATGTAGCCAGAGCTTTTAGGGTTCAAATCCTGTTTGCTTTTTGATGGTAATATCAAGCAAAATATCTTTATTAATGTGATTATTCATTTTTATATCATAAGATGGATTTTAACCACTGCCTTCTCTATTCTAGGCTATATTACGAGGTTTTCGTGACTGTAATCAAAGATTATCCTCGATAAATGAACTCTAGTAATTTTCTAGCCTTGTCTCATACTAATGTGTGGGTACTGACGTATTCTATCTGGTGAGCTATCCTTTCAAAGAACAATACTTGTTTTAGTGAAAACTTCAGTCGTTTTGCGTATTTGGAAGTTGAAGAGCCACGTAATGCGTTTATTAACATTTGATCAAAATAAAAGTGTACGCATAGTGTTTGGCTGGATCTTCTCTATCCCGCGTTAGAACAACCAAACCTAAAAACAAAATCCCACAAAAGGTCGCGTATGTCAGGCCTCAAGCAGATGTCTTATGGGTTATACGATCACATAAAACCTTTTCTCTTTCAGGTACATTGAGAAGAAATAGCCTTCTACGGTGTGGAAAGCCGGGAAGTGTCAACCGCTTGTACGCTTCAAGTAGTACACAAGACCCAATCAAACATAACTTATCCTCCCCAACTATGTTTCCCCCTTCCCTTTGCCTCCTGAGACTAGTATTAAGCCTCCTACACCTTCCCTAACCTCTCATTCTGTGAGCATTGTCAACGATCAAAGCCATCGGAACGTCATTCCTAGTCTTCCAAAACCAGGCCATCAATTCCACGTAGAAGCTTTCAACGTCTGAACTCTATGCCAAATCAGATAGAAAGCGTCGCTGGCCAAAACTGGAATCTCTAGTCATGCATGTATGTTGTAACCTTGAGAAATGTATACAGGACCTGAGTGTGGTTATTAAATCGACCTCACCTTACCAGTGAGGTGAATCTTCGAAATCCACCTTGAGTATCTGAAAACCCAATGGCTAGCTCTCGTGGACTCCCTGGTGTAGGCATAGCATTAGGCTGTAGGGCAGAAAGTGCGCTTCTCGATTGGATACCAGTCAACAGCCGTCTATGTCCTGTTTAAATGAATGGATCAGTGAGGACTAGGAAGGATAGTGGGACTAACCGATGTCTATTCGCAGTCTCCGCCTATGCGCCGATCAACTTGACTTCGGATGATGCAAAGGATGAATTCTATAGGCTGTCAAATCTGCTACAGAAAGCAAAACGTTCAGATATTGTCTTATTGGCAGCCGACTTTAACCCTTAAGTAGGGAAGCTCAGCCAATCCGAAAGTCAACTTGGAGGTATTTACGGAATCTTTTGCAAACGAACTGACAATGGTGATCGTTTGTTGCAATTTTGATCTGATAATCACTTGTATTTGGCCATCATAAGGCATAAGGAAAGGCACTGTATTACATAGCATTCACCGACTGAAAACCAACGATGGACGCAGATAGATCATGTTGTTGTAAGCCGTCGTTGGAGAGGATGAGTGGGAGATTACCGCTCTTTTTAGAGTACCAGTTTAGACTCCGATTGTGGGCTAGTATGGGCTCGTGTATGTTTGTGCCTTGCTAGCCGCAGGAAACAGATGGCAGTGAAATCTGTCTTCGCTTGATTGGAAGATGAGGACGCCAATAACGCACTTAGAAAGTATTTAGCTAAGCACTTATCTGAACGTGACAGCAATGGTCATCTTGAGAAAACCTTGTGTAATATTAAGTCTGGTGTAGAAGCAGAAGTAAACACGTTTGGTCACTTACACCTGAAGGTAAGCAGACGTCAATGGATTTCCGTGATGTCATCCGAAATGAGTGATGCAAGAAGACTTATTCCAGATAGAGCTGTGGCTCAGTGACTAAGGAAGATAACTAACAACCCTAACCGGGTTTCGGACTTGGATGGGGATGCATCGATCATATTGTCACCCTGGAACACAAGAATACTTACTGGCGACCGATACTTACCATATTTCTGGACCTGAAGGCGGTATTTGACTCAACCAACCATGAGGTGTCGTGGCAGTGCCAGACTATGCTAAGTACCAAGAAAGTATACGCGTCTCTACTGGAACTCACTCAGCCGTGTATGAGCTAATGCAGACGTGTCACCAGTTGATAGAGTCTTTTACTTAGCTGTATGAGGAGTTTTAGACTTCCTGGCTAGGGTCCGGGAGACGAAAGGGTTCAGGGTTAAGAACTCTTGGTAATATGGCAGAGAATTGGTCACAATGGCCCAAATGTATTCACTTCTTGATATCTAAAGCTTGAATATTCACACTAACGGTTATCTTCGCATTGTTTATTTTCTCGCATAACTTTATCTACTTTGATGTCACTCTTTTCCTATCCACCTGCTCTTGGTAAACTACTGTGAAGTGTGGGAACTTGAGCCGGTGCGCCTGTATGCGAGGTTCTGCGTTGATTTTATCAGTCATTCAGTCACTTTTCTTGCTCTCCTAATAAACTGTATTTATATTAGCTAATTGGTCCATCATTTTCTTTCAACCTTAGTTTTGTGAATCTATTCACTTTTCTTGGTCACTATACCGATTATTGTAACCACTCATTTTTTTATCGTCAGAATTCGGTAAAATCTTATGCTATATAAGTTGACAATAGTTTGAAAATTCATACTCAGCTTGAGCATACTATCTTTTAGAAGCACTTTTGCGTCATTAGTATCAGGTCTCATTGCTTGGAGTAAGGGGAAACGGGCGTGTTTCGAAATCTGTCACTTGTTTAAAGGCGCAGTATTGGGAAGGAAAACTGATGTGATTTTCGCATTTTTCAAATCATCAGCGTTTCAGTTAGTTAGAAGGGAAGATGAGTGATATTTGTGATGCTAATAATTGATAATTTGTCTTCAGAGAGTAAAGTAAGTAATAGTAATTTGTAACTGGACCTAGTTTCATTTTGTGAGCTACCACCATTTCCCGGCTTCAAATAAAGCTTATGTCTCGGGACTGCCATGTAATGATAGCTGAGAAACCACGAGGTACTTGGGAGCACTGGTCATTAGTTCCATCAGAACTTTTTACAACCTTAGGTGCCACTGAAGATCGTGACCAGGAACTCAAGATCAGCAAGTTATATGCTCAGTGGAGTTAAATTTACCAGTGGACACTTGTAGAAGCATTTGGTTTGGAAAACAGAGAGGTCATCACTGATAAGAAGTCACCCTAGCTTTTCACATATCTGACACTACAGGTCTCACCATTTCATAAGAAATTGGATTCTAATAACGGTTTAATTCTAACTGGTGACTTGGTTCAGAGCGAACCTCCAGAAGGTCTGTTAGAAACTTGAGGATAAGACATATCAGAATTAGGAAGAGTTTATGGGAATAGCAATCTATGGGAGTCACATTATGAAGAAATTGTTGAGAATCTGATAAAGGAAATTACTTCGTCGTTTCATCAAGATTATTGTTTCTACCTGACTCTCTCGTTGGTGTACTGCTGAAGAATTCTGAAATAGCGCCAAACAACTGCATACTAGATTTCCAGTGGTTTGTCATTCCATAACAGTGAGGTGAAATTACCTCAAAGCTAATCAGTCCCTCTCAAACTGTACAAATAAGAGTGCTTATAGAAGCGACGTTCTGAATAATGCCACTCTACCAAGTTTTGTAGGTCTAACGGACAACAATAATTCGATTGCTATTCACTTATGTAACAGGAAGTATGCTTTTTTCGAAATGTGAAGCTTGACCGTCTGCTATACAAGCAGAACCGATGGCAGGTAACTGATTTTTCTTACACTTCTGCTTCTTACATCATCACTCTATTACGGCTCTCTCCAGTGGTTTTAACTGGAGAGTGATTTTTTATTCCTGGTGCTTGGGATATGCATGATAATTTCTTACATGCAGAGCTGTGGCTTACTGCATTTTTAGTAATCACAAAAGGAACAGACATAATTTTGGCAAGTAGATAACCAACACTATCTTTCCTGTATCTAGCATGGTTTCAGCTTGGAAACTAAGTAGCTCCCAACGAATATGGTAGCTGAAACTCATTATTCTTTACGTATTATTACTTAATCTGTTTTAAACGTCGTCATAATCTCTGTATGTGTACACGTACTATGTATCTTTCAAAACGTAAAGTCCTTGTTAGTACAACTTTTGAGCAGTGTTTCCATCAAACATGATTCTTTAGGGTTTTTAGACCAACTGAAGAGGTGTGTAGCTCATATCTTAATTAGATCTTTACAAAATGTTTCTCAAGAGCCAAGGACTCATTAGCCTCAAGGAGACTAAATGAATATAATCTACAAAGTCCATAGTACAGTCTATTAACTTTACTATTTTGTTAAGTCTTTGGACAACTCAAAAATATGCATGAGTTTCAGATGGTCATCACAGATAGAAATACAAAGGACAAAATGCAAACAACTTCAATGATAGCAATATGAAAATCTTACAGCATCAAGCTTTGAAATTTACGAGGTATTTTGAAATTTTGCATTCCAGCTAACTATCGGTCAACAAGTCTGGGGACTTATTGGAAAGAAACTAATCAAACCACTGAAAATTAATCAATCGAACCAGTAATAAGGCATCGGGTCAGCAGTGAACTTCCTATCTTATAATGACGAAACCTTTGCTCTTCACTTTGACTGGAAGAGGGTCTGCAAGTCAGCATTTCACAAAAATCACTTCTGCCTTCAACAACTCTCAAAGTCAGTAGCTATTATAGTTAAGAATGCATGCAACATTTCTTCAAAATGCTTCGCTTCTCCATGAAGTAAGTACTGTTAAAGCCATCA